TTGTGGTCATGTTTGGGTTGGAGGCCGTATGTATTACATTGATCACTCTTGTCGGACCCTGCCATTTTTGTCACTCTTGCCATCGATCATTCCTGCCCGGGCCGTGTTGAATTTTCCATTTCTATCAATCTTTACCTTTTTAGTCTCCATAAGTTGCAAGAGGTGTCTAGCTTAGGCAAGTTCTTTGAGGTGCTGCTTTAGAGAACGAAAGTTTTCTATCATGTGCCCTACATCATGGTGATAAGAGCATCTCAGATTTGGGTTTCTCTTTTATAGGTCTCCTCCCAACTTGTTTGACCATTTAAAGAACGAATTTCCCTTGATTTGGGATAAGAATTTGTAAATTAGCCCTTTGAACACTATGTTCACCCCGAAAAATGAAGATCTTGAGGGGAAACCCTCTTTTTCCTTCCCCTTCGACCTGAACCGAGATTGTGCACTCAATCTTTCCTTTCAAATCTGTTTCTTGCTAGGTTGATCTTATTTAGGATCCCTACCGAGGTCATCATCAACCTTTGCATACTTCTGGACTCTATCCATGAGCCTTTCTATGCCCAATGCCAGTATTTGTGTCAACGATTAATACAATTGATTTTTCTTTGGTAAATTGACCTTGAAGGATGCGACAGAAATCTCAAGATTGCAGCTTTTGATTTCATTCATAGTTTCCCAATATTGGTGAGCATATTTGAGAAGCAACTCTCTATTTGTTTTCTTCAAAGAGGGTAATGCCCCAATGTCATTCGGTTGTCAAATGCTAGTGATGAACCGAGTTGTGAATTGCTCGGTGAGTGTTAATCAACTGTTAATAGAATCTTTAGCCAGGCTGTCGAACCGCTTCATTGTTAACTCGCCTAGGCTGCTAGGGAACATTTTGCACAACAAAGCTTTGTTCTTCTTGTGGATTGCCTTTAGTTATTTGTAATGGCGGATATGCACGGTTTGTTCTATTTTTCTGTTGTATAGTTTGAAGCTCAGGATGGTGAACTTACTCAAGACCTTTTTTCTTTCTTTCCATCTAGTAAAAGAGGAAGCCACTGGTCCTCCAATGTATTCTCCAGCGGCCCTTCTTGCTAAATATCTAGTGGTTTTTGCTCAGGTCACTTTAACATATTGTTAAGGTCTTTCGTAACGAAGCACTTCCAAGCATACTCTTGGTCTTCTGTGTGATATGACTTCCTCCTGTCATTCATCTCCTGGGTATCTTCCCTGCATCTTGGTTTACTCCTTTCAGGGGTTGAGCTTCTATATCTTCGATCCCGTTTGGCTTTGTCACCATTGGCTCGGTTACTGGTTCTTTCTGTGACACCCCAAAGAGAATTTATCACAGAAGTTTGAAGACTGACAGCTCATCACTAGGGATGGCAAGGGACCGGGGGAAAATGGGTATTTGTCCAAACCTGTCCCGTTTGGAATGGGGATGGATCATATATATTGGACGGTAGATGTATACGAAAAAACCTGTATAAACCCGTGCGGGGATGAACTTACCCTTACCCCCGCCCCACCCCGTCTCCGTTACACTCGTTAATTTATATATATATATATATATACCACCTCTTCCACTATCAACCTTCAGCCGCCTACCTCCATCTCTCTCTCACTCTCTCTCACACACACACACAGTGAAACAGACACCCATTGGTCATCGCTGATCACTGCACTCAGCAGCTCCTCATAACTGACCGCCTTCATCTTTCTCTGTGTCCCGTTGCACTCGTTGATCACTGCCTTGCTCGCAGATCTCGATTTTGCAAGTACGTTTCTCTCTCAGTCGAATCTCCATCTTCCCTATATTCTTTCATTCTGTTTTTTTTCCCTTTGATTTTTAGATCTTTCTCTCTATTCTGTCCTTGAGTAGATCATATAAGCCAAAAACATGATTGAATCATAGAAATACATACACAATGGGACTATAAAACCAGCAGTGGTTCAGGGAGGAAATGGGGTTTGGATGAATTAGAGAACAAACAGTTGCAGAGGTGAAAGTGTGGGGTGTGAATTGGAGAGAGAAAAAGAGGGTTAATGCAATGGGTAGCTTTGATGGTACAAATGATTGATTGCACTAAAATTCCAAGGCATTGTCACCCGAGTTTTCTACAAATAAATGTATGTTCCGAGGTTCTCATGAACATGAGGTGAAGTTTGCAGATACATCATCATTCACTATCATGGTTTCTACATCCAATCATGGAATAAGAGTTCTTTTATCCTACTTTGACTGGTGTTGGAAATGCAGTGTTAAAGGAGGAATTGGAGGAGGGAGGTGAGGGGGGGTACTGTTGTAGTTTTGGGCAAATCCTAGTGAGCCACTGCTGAACATTGTATGCACCATGTTAGTATTATGTATTTTTGGGCTTTTTGAAAAGTTCATGATACAGAAGAGAATGTGGAAAGATGTGTAATTTTTGCTCCATATGTTGTCTTGCATATGGGGAAACTTGGTGGGTTTGATTTGGGTTATCTCAATTGGTATGTTGTTACACCAGTATGGTTATATAGTCTCATTGTGTATGTTTTTCTATGAGTCGGTCATATTTTTAGTTCATGACAAATTACAATGAATGGACTATACAATATATGCAAATCATGAAAGTTAAATTTCCCCATATTGCTTGCAGGTTATTTTGACCAAAAAAGAGGCAGCAAGCTGATTACCATTTGTTTTATCCTTATTTCACTAGTATACAGAGTTCAACCCCCATAGTCGAAAGTGATAGATTTTTTTTTTTTATTATAGTTTGGTTTCTACTTAGTTGATTACAAATAATGCAAGGAGAAGAAGTGAGAAATAATATGTCAACTCCTGAAACTTCTGCAACACCGGATGAAAGCAACCGACTTCCAATTTCTATTGATGAAAATCAATCTACCAACTCAACTCCAATGACTCTTGGTGAAATAGATAGGTATAGATCAATTGTGTGAGATCATTTCAAGAGGAAAACAGTTGATGGGAAGTTAAAGGCTAAGTGCAATGAATGTAAGAAAATGCTTATTGGTGGTGCTAAGAATGGAACTAGTCACTTGCATGACCATCTTAAAAGTTGTTCGATGAAGAAATATAAAAATTTGAAGTCCCAAAGACGTGATAAAAGATATGACCTTGAATATGTTTGAAAAGTTTAACAAATATTTGAGTGTGATTCATGGTGTTATGGGAATAACCATTGTTTTAGATCCACGGTATAAGTTGGGAATTTTGAAGTATTATTATGAGAAAATGTGTGGAGGTGTGGAAACTTTAAATGAAGTGAAGAGGATTAAGGAGCTTTGTTTGGAATTAGTAGGCAAATGTGAAGCGAGGCAAAGAAGTGATTATGAACCATAGCCTTCTCCTCCCCCTCTTCAATCAGATATTGATTCCAAATGCCCATTAATTGATGAAGAGCTACACATTAGTGGAGAATCTTGATATTGATGATGAGGAGGTATATCGTTTTAGTTGAAAATTTCTCTTTGACAGAATGTAATTTTTTTTTTTTAATAATATAGGAAAATGATGTTGAAGAAGTAGATTCTACCACTATCGATGGTGTTAAGAGATGATTAAGTTGGTAATTTTTCAATTTTAACCAATCAATTTTATTAGTAAATACAAAATATTTTTTATGCAATTATTATAGTTTTTTATGTTTTATTTTCTTTATTAAATTACAGGTGTGACCGTGTGAAACTACATGGCAGAAAAGTTTTCCCATTACGTTGTGTGTTATGTTGAATTATATGATATTCAAGTAGTGACATTTGTTGTTTGTTATTTTGAACATTTGTTAAGACATGTGTTGTGTTATGTTGGACAATTATATGAAAAGTTTCCCCATTCCCCATTACGTAGTATTTTGGACATTTGATGAGGTATATTGTGTTATGTTGTTTGTATTTTCAACATTTACCCATTTGTTGTTTGAATTATATTAAATTCAAGTAGTTATTGGAGAATGTTGTTGGATTATTTAAAATGTTGAATTTATTTAGAATTTTGGATTATGTTGGCTTGACCTTGGGCTTGGGCGGGTACGGGGGTAGCAGGGATGAGGGCGGGGATTAAAAATTTTCCTGTGGACGAGAATGGGATGAAAATTATACCAGTTAACAGGGGTGGATCGGGGATGGACGAAGGTTTTTTAAAGGGGTATGAAAATGGAGACTATACCCCCCGCCCCCGTTTCAGTCCACTAATATCCCTACTCATCATTGAAACTGTTGAAACTCGGGATAGCACTCTACATGCTCTTACAGAGGCTCGACTAGAGAGGAATTCAAGTTCCGTCTTGAGGTTTAGAACATAATTATCAAAGAAAAAGAAATGGTTTAAAAAATTTTGTCTTTTGTATAGCATGAATTAATTAGATTATTAGAATTACCAAAAAAAAAAAATCTCTCCCACATTTCTGTCAACCATTTGATAGATCCACCCTCTTTTTGGATTTTCTTCGAATAAGATCTTGTTTGTCGTTTGAAGTCTTTATCGGTGGCATTTTGGTCAGTTAAAATGAAAATAATTTATTGGGTAAATATCACTCACACCCCCTGATATTTGATTTTATTACATAGTCACCTCCTCACATTTTAAAAATGACACTAGGACTCCAATACTGAACGACATTAACAAAATTAATAAAAAAAACTATTTTACCCATAATTAATTGATCAAATACGTGCTCAAATCTAAACCCTCACCCCATGCCCAAGACAACACTCCATGACCCGTGACCCATGACCTAAAATCCTCTATGCCCGAAGCTGCCAACAATTAAGCAATACCATTTTTCCCTCTTTCCCTGCACCACCCATTCCCTGCACCATCGACTCCACTACCGCCTCCACCACCACACACAGTGCCCAAGAACACAAACCCTTTTACCCACAAAACAATGGCTCTCACAAGCACCAATACTCTTCTCCCCAATAAATTGATTGTTGAAACTCAATCTGTCCTACCTACTTCCAAATCCCACCAATTTTCTCTCTCCACCAACCTAACCAAATCCACTAAATCAATCCCCAACCATCTCTATCGTCCATTCCTTTGAGTTGTCCAAAAACCCCATTGTCTCTGATAAGCCTCCAAAATCAAGCACATCGACTAAAACAGCAACCTCAACGGCAACACCAATGGTGACAAACCCAGATAGGGTCTCCAAGAAATGGAGTGTGGATAACTGGAAAACCAAGAAAGCTCTTCAACTTCCGAAGTACCTAGATCAATAATAGCTCGAACCTGTGCTCCGGACTGTGGATTCTTTTCCTCCTATTGTGTTCACTGGGGAGGCCAGGCATTTGGAGGAAGGCCTTGCGGAGGCTGCAATGGGTGGTTTTGGTGGGTTATTCTCTCCCTCCCCCTTGTTGTGATTGGGTTTAGGCGGCGGTGGAGCCGGTGGTGATGGATGGCAGGAGGAAGAATTTATGTAATTAGAAAAATAATAAATATAAACCCATACAAAATGGTGACCGGTGGCTCAATACGAAAAAATATTAGTTCTTAGGTATGTGAAGGCAAAAATGCCAGAGAGATTTTATCACAGAAGTTTGAAGACTGACAGCTCATCACTGAAACTGTTGAAACTCGGGGTAGCACTCTACATGCTCTTATAGAGGCTCAACCAGAGAGGAATTCGAGTTCCGTCTTGAGGTTTAGAACATAATTATTAAAGAACAAAAGGTGGTTAAAATTTTTTTATCTTGTGTATAGCATGAATTAATCAGATTATTAGAATTACCAACAAAAAAATAATCTCTCCCACATTTCTGTCAACCATTTGATAGATCCACCCTCTTTTTGGATTTTCTTCGAATAAGGTCTTGTTTGTCATTTGAAGTCTTTATCGGTGGCAATTTGGTCAGTTAAAATGAAATTAAATTATTGGGTAAATATCACTCACACCCCTTGATATTTGATTTTATTACATAGGCACCCCCTCACATTTTAAAAATGACTCTGGGACTCCAATAGTGAACGACGTTAACAATATTAATAAAAAGACTATTTTACCCTTATTTAATTGATCAAATCCATGCTCAGATCTAAACCCTCACCCCATGCCCAAGACAACACTCCACGACCCGTGACCTATTACCTAAAATCCTCTATGCCCGAAGCCCCCAACAATTAAGCAATACCATTTTTCCCTTTTTCCTTGCACCACCCCCAACCTCCACCGTATTCCCTACACCAATGCCTCCACTACCGCCTCCACCACCACACACAATGCCGAAGAACACAGACCCTTTTACCCACAAAATAATGGCTCTCACAAGCACCAGTACTCTTCTCCCCAACAAATCGATTGTTGAAACTCAATCTCTCCTACCTTCTTCCAAATCCCACCAATTTTCTCTCTCCACCAACCTAACCAAATCCACTTGATCAATCCAACCCATCTTTGTTGTTCATCCCTTTGAGTTGTCCAAAAACCCCCATTGTCTCTGATAAGCCTCCAAAATCAAGCACACGGCTACAACAGTAACCTCAATGGCAACACCAACGGTGACAAACCCAAATAAGGTCTCCAAGAAATGGAGCGTGGATGACTGGAAAACCAAGAAAGCTCTTCAACTTCTGGAGTACCCAGATCAAGAAGAGCTTGAATCTGTGCTCCGGACTTTGGATTCTTTTCCTCCAATTGCGTTTGCTGGGGATGCCAAGTATCTGGAGGAACACCTTGCGGAGGCTGCAATGGGTGTTTTTAGTGGGTTGTTCTCTCTCTCTCTCTCTTTGTGTGTGTGTGTGTGTGTGTGCTATCCCTAGTTGTGATTGGGTTTAGGCGATGGTGTAGGTGGTGGAGCCTATGGTGATGGATGACAGGAGGAAGAATTTATGTAATTAGAAAAATAATAAACATAAACTCATACTAAACGGTGACCGGTGGCTCCATACGAAAAAATGTTTGTTTTTGGGTATGTGAAGGCAGAAATGGCAGAGAGATTTTATCACAGAAGTTTGAAGACTGATAGCTCATCACTAAAACTGTTGAAACTCGAGGTAGCACTCTACATGCTCTTACAAAGGCTCGAACAGAGAGGAATTTGAGTTCCATCTTGAGGTTTAGAACATAATTATCATAGAACAAGAGGTGGTTTAAAAATTTTTGTCTTTTGTATAGCATGAATTAATCAGATTATTAGAATAACCAAAAAAAAAAAATCTCTCCCACATTTTTGTCAACCATTTGATAAATCCACCATCTTTTTGGAATTTCTTCGAATAAGGTCTTGTTTGTCATTTGAAGTCTTTATCGGTGGCATTTTGGTCAATTAAAATGAAAATAATTTATTGGGTAAATATCAGTCACTCCCCCTGATATTTGATTTTATTACATAGGCACCCCCTCACATTTTAAAAATGACACTGGGACTCCAATAGTGAACGACATTAACAAAATTAATAAATAGACTATTTTACCCTTAATTAATTGATCAAATCCATGCTCACATCTAAACCCTCACCCCATGCCCAATACAAACTCCACGATTCGTGACCAATGACCTAAAATCCTCTATGCCCGAAGCCCCCAACAATTAAGCAATACCATTTTTCCCTCTTTCCCTGCATCGCCCCCAACCTCCACCGCATTTCCTGCACCACCGCCTCCACCACCACACACAGTGCCCAAGAACACAGACCCTTTTGCCCACAAAACAATGGTTCTCACAAGCACCAATACTCTTCTCCTCAAAAACATCGATTGTTGAAACTCAATCTCTCCTACCTTCTTCCAAATCCCACCATTTTTCTCTCTCCACCAACCTAACCAAATCCACTAGATCAATCCAACGCTCTTTGTCGTCCATTACTTTGAGTTGTCCAAAAACCCCATTGTCTTTGATAAGCCTCCAAAATCAAGCACATTGGCTAAAGCAGCAATCTCAACGGCAACACCAATGTTGACAAACCCAGATTGGGTCTCCAAGAAATGGACCGTGGATAACTGGAAAACCAAGTAAGCTCTTCAAATTCCGGAGTACCCAGATCAAGAAAAGCTCGAATCTGTGCTCCGGACTTTGGATTCTTTTCTTTTGATTGTGTTCGCTGGGGAGGCTAGGCATCTGGAGGAATGCCTTTGCGGAGGCTGCAATAGGTTGTCTTGGTGGGTTGTTCTCTCTCTCTCTCTCTTTCTCTCTCTGTGCTATTCCTTGTTGTGATTGGGTTTAAGCGGTGGTGGAGCCGGTGGTGATGGATGGCATGAGGAAGAATTTATGTAATTAGAAAAATAATATATATAAATAAAATTAATATGACATAATTGGATAGATAGTTATTAAGATTTTTAAAAAAATTGATTAATTTTTAAATTGTAATAATAATTCCAAATATCTTTTTGATAAAGTAGTTAAATTAGTTTGTCTTGAACTTTTCGCGGCTCAGATCATTTTGAGATTATTGATCCAACGACCCTAATTAATCTTTGAATTTCTTTACCACCCATCACTTTTTCAAAATTCAGTAGGACTCTCCTAACCAAAACTCTCATCCCCTAGCAGTAGGACTCTCCTAATGATAGACTCTCCTAACCAAATAGAAGATGTTGGATGCTGGTTTTTGAATTTGGCAGACCTTTTCCTTTTCTTTCTCTCTCTCTCTCTCTCTCTCACACACACACACTCACACACAAACACAAACACACACTCCTCCTCTCTCAGTTAATCTCTCTCTCTCTCTCTCTCAGGCTGTGAAGCACCCAACTAATGATGGACTCTCCTAAACCAAAACTCTCGTTCATATTTTCTTTTAAATATAGGATGCTAGAAGCTTTTGAATTTGGTAGATCCTTTCTTTATCTCTCTCTTTTCCTTATCTCTCTCTCCCCCTAACTCTCACCCGCCTCCTCTCTCTGTTAATCTCTCTATCTTACTTCAAGCAACGAAGCACCCAAGAAAAAGCTCAGTAACTTTTTGCCTCTCTCCCAGCCTCTCTCTCCACCTACAACTAGCCAACCACCATTCTCCTTTTCCCTTCTTTTTTCCTTCTCTCTCTCTCTCTCACCATGCACAACCACAGCCCACAGTAAGCTCAGTGCATCTCACTCACTCTCTTTCTTATGTGTGTGTTTTTCTATGTTTTGTGTGTTTTTTTGAGTTCAGTGTTGGCGCATTCTATGTTTAGTGTGCGTGTTTTGTGTGTGCATTAAGTGTGTGTGTGAGTGTGTGCAGCTTCCTTTCATTCTTAGTTACTGAAATTGCTATCTTATGCTTTTTTATTGGCATTTTGGGTCTTTTTTTAATTATTGAAATAGGTTGCGAGTTAAGGAAAGACTATTAATTTGGTTAAGTCGAATCCGATAATTGATTGCAAAAGCTCTAAAATAAGGTTTTGAGTATAATCTTAATTTCGTGACTTCTCTATATAGTCTTTTTTGAGTACTAGTTGGGGGCATATGTGCGTTGCATGTGAACCATTGTAAGAATAAAATATTACAACCACAGTACATCCATATGGCATGTAGGTCTACCAAAACAAATAATGAGCCACAACAAAAAATAAAGGCGTTTGTATGAGAAACATAATTGACTCTCTAAAAGAGTGAGATATATAATTAATTCACAGTATAAGACAAGGCAACCATAATGTACTTCTAATATAAATTACCCTCAATCAAATTTTATGTCATTTAAATTTAAATGGCAATAAAGCCCAAGTGTCCATACTCCATACAGCATCACCTCCCAGACCATTCATTAGTGATGGCAAGATTCTTTTTCCTTTCTCCTCAATCATTTCTCAGTAGTAGCACAATGTAAAAAAAAAAAAGTTATAGAAGTATATGAGTTTTACACTAACATCAACTTCTAGAAACCTAAGTAAGACCCTAAACACTAATCCAAAATTTGTCAAAGTTCTTACAAAATGATAGAGGTATATGTCCAACAACTTTAAACAATCAACCAAGAATGTCTTTGAGGTTTATTTTCACTCATGCACTTCATTGTTTACCATGTGTCTGATCATCTCCATTCCCTTAAAACTAACAGGTATTCTTATGTGACATCATGGATTTGCATTGTCATAACAATTTGGGGTAAGGAGAGAAATTTGAAATCATTGTTTGTCGTTACATACTCCATGTTCTACCGACTCAACTCTCACTTTGTTGGGCTTAGTAGTATAAGGAAGTTATCACCTCTTAACAATTGCTTGAGTGATTTCATAAGATTTCAAGTGCTTTTTGGGATTTAGTACAGTCCATAAAAATGGTTTTCTTCTTTTTTCAACTTATAGCCCTAATTGAATTAGAAGAAAAAAGAAGAAAACTCGTGTTTTTCCCCTTCTTTTATTGGATACATAGTAAACTCGCACCATGTTGCCCATTGGCTGTTAATTTAGTTTACTTTAAGATGAAATGAGGAAACCCTCATAAGAGTTCCCCATTTTTCAGTAAGCCATTGATTTTCGAAGGGAGTCCTAGGTTCCAATTGATCTTTATGACCCCAGACTCACAATTAATGAGAAAAGCATCAGACGCATAATTTTTCTTGGTGTTCTTATAATGGCCACACTTTGATAACTAACACCCATGAAAGTTTAAAGCACATCCTTTTGACATATGATTCAATCATTGACTAATGCCAAATGTGTATGCATATACAATTTACAACAAATTTGATCATGGAAAATAACATCCTCAAAGTAGATATGTTCAAGTAATGAAAGTGTAATAAAGCTACGGATATATACCCAACCAATAGCAACCGGTAGTTCTAAAACAAATACGTAAATTTGTTAACATCTATCTAAAAGAAAAAAACAAAGAATTGCAAAAAAAAAAAAATTACTTTCAAAAACCAAATGTGAGTCACTTAAACGCGAAAACAAACATTACTAAACAGTAACATGCAAATGTAAAATTAACAAATCCAAATGCTTGCTTCAATCATCACCACAACATGTTTTTCATGTAATGCAAAGCTCCTCAAAGCAGCACTAACTAATGCAACTTTAAGCAACAACAATCCAACATATGCTTCAAACACTTGAAACCTAAAAGAAAAACACAATTTTTTGATTTATATCCAGACCTTCAAGCAACATGGTTAATTATGTCCCTCATGATGAAAAAAACATATAATTATTTGTCCCCAAATTTGGATCCCCAAAGAGAATGAAGCAACACAAAATGTACAGAGGCGAGGGTCCAATATGGTATATGGAAGTAATACTTCACTAAAAAATTCTCAACATGTTGAATGCATCGTTATGCATAGGTCAAGACCATAGTTTTTTTTATCAACTCTGCTACCTTTCTAGAAGTTCAATTTTTGATATTTTTAACGTTAATGTTCTATAACTATAGTCTTTATGCGAGAAGTGGATATTTTTTAACTACTAGTAGGTGCCCACATGCATTGCACGTGAACCATTTGTGTATTAAATATTGAATATTATA